AATACCTAGGATTCATCATCAATCAAAGGAGTGTAAAGGTTGACCCAGTCAAAATGGCAGCCATATGGGATTGGACTAAACCTAATAACAAAATGGATGTTCAATGCTTAATAGGATTCTGCAGGTTTTATCGAAGATTTATAGAAGGATTTAGCAGGCTTACAAAACCACTCTATAATTTAACCAAGAAAGACAAGAAATGGGAATGGGGAGAAACAGAAAAAAAAGCATATGATACAATCAAAACACATCTGATATTAGCACCGATACTGGTCTATTTCAACTAAAATTGAAGGATGATAATTGAAACAGATGCCTCAAAGTATGAATTCTCAGGCATACTGTTATAACAATGCGAAGACAGAAAATAGAGGCCAGAATCTTATCGGTCCAAGACAATGATCCCCGCGGAATGCAACTACGATGTTGCGAACAAAGCACTATTAGCAATTGTTCAGGCATCAAAGGAGTGGAGAAGATACATCCTGAACAACAACCAGCCAGTCTGAGTTCTCACTGATCGCAAAAATCTGGTCCTGTTCATAACTAGGAAGGAATTGAATGACCATCAGATAAGATAGATGGAACAACACAGCAAATACAACTTCAAGATTGAATACCGACTAGGAAAAGAAAGTGGAAAGCTGGATACTCTCACAAGAATCGTAAATGACAAACTACAGACAAAAGAAGACGAAAAGATTAAACAGAAAACATGAACACTTTTACCAAAAGCCTACTTCCAGGCAATGGAAGTTATCAAGTTCACATCCGAGGAAGAACAAGGAATCAAGAAGGCAAACGAAGAGGACAAAACAATTCGGGCAATAAGGGAAGAATTAAAGGAAAGAAGAAAAGGAGATGAAAGAAATTGCTCTAGGTTTATACTGATGGAAAGATAGAAACATGTAATATGATGGAAAACAGTGGATTCTGGAAGAAGAAAAGATAAGAACGAGCATTATATGACAACATCACGATATCTCAATGGCAGGACATGGAGGGACAGCTAAAACAGCAGAATTCATCACTAGGTTATTCTATTGGCCAGGATTGTATGAAGATATTAAAAAATATATCACAAGTTGCGACATATGCTAAAGGACAAAAACTGCTGAATATGCACCTTATGGATTACTGAAATCAAATGAAGTTCTCAAACGACACTGGGAAACAATTACTATGGATTACATCAGAGACATACCACTATCAGAATAATGTTATAGCATCTTGGTTGTAGTAGATCGCCTGACCAAAATGAGTTATTTTATTCCTGTCAAAAAAAATTAGGGATACGAGACATTTTATATAACCTTTTTTCCGAGAGGTTTTCCAGACTGCATGGCCTTCAAAGAATACCATTACGGATCGAGGAATATTGTTCACATCCGGATTGTGGAAAAAAGTAACTGGAGAAATAGTGATACAAAATTGGCTGTGCACTGTGTTTTACCCACAAACAGATAAACAAATAGAACAGGTAAATGCAATCCTCGAATAATATTTATGGGCCTACGTCAACTATTAACAAGATGATTGGTATAAGCTGTTATCAATAGCCGAGTTCACATACAACAACAGAAAATGAAAAACAATAGGTGCGACATCCTTCTTTGCAAATTATGGACAACATCCACAAAGTCAGGCCACATATAATACGATTAATGGCATAATACCGGATAAAACAGACATGAGAAAACTACACAAGACATTACAATACAAAATAAGTCAAGAACAACAACGGCAAAAAGAACAATATGATAAGCACCGCAGACTGGATCTGAATATACAACCGAGAGATATGGTGTGGCTACTACCACGCAATATCCATATGATGCGATCATTAAAAGAATTGGACTACAACAAAATTGGACTACTCTGGATACTGGAATGAGTGGGCAACTGAGCCTATAAGCTCGATCTTTCCCCCACAATACAAATAAACAATACATTCCACATCTCACTCCTCGAATTATACAACAACAATAAGTTTCCCTCACAAACAATTATTCCTTCTCTTCCGATTGAACTCGATGGAGAATCAGAATACGAACTAGACAAGATAATCGACTCCTGCTTCTTCCATGGTAACCTTCAATACTGAGCCAATTGGACTGGTTATTCACCTGAATACGATAAAACTTGGTATTACGCGTACACCTTCGTAAACGCACAAGATGTCCTCTCAACTTTCCACTAGTGATACTCAAGTAAAAGATATCTAAGAGTTGGATATGGAGTTATGGAGGGTTGAAGCCAGGTGATCTTAGAAGGTTGTAATTATGACTACCTTTGCAAATAGAACCTGCAGATGAAACTAATCATTTTATCAATGCCGGAGACAATTGAGGCTAACTCCGTTTGACTTATGAACTAAGTCATAAGTCTAAAGACTCCAATGATTGGATAATTACTATTGAAAACAGCATAATTCCTGATTAATTATATCCTAATTTCCGAAGAGGGTGTGGTGATTTTCAGGATCTCTGGGTATTCACATCTTCAAAGAGTACCTGCTATTGCGAGTTATAATCAGAGAGGTACAAAGTTATATAATAGATGTAGTTTGCGAATACTCAGATGCAGAATATAAATATCAAAGTGCCTCTCAAGCTGTTAGAGATTATCAAGTAATGGAGAAGAGACCTTAACAATAGAATATTGTTTTCACAGTTCTATTCTGCTTTATCAATTTTACTTCGCTCTTAGTAGTCATAAATGAAATAAGTGAATTCGACTCTTCCTAGACAATCTCTGTCTACAGAACTGAATCTTGGTTGGCCTAGACAACTCTGAAGTCTATCAGGTTGTCTCCACTTAACACTTACTCACTTACTCACTTACTCACTCTCACTCTCACTCTCACTCTTTTATTTTTACTTTTATTTTTTATATTTTGTAGTATCATACAAGAGACTTTATATTTACAGAAATTATTGTGATCGTTGAGTTTATGATATTTTTTTACAGCATTCTGGGTATGATATAATTAAACACCAAAATGACTCATGTTTAACTTTGTTACATGTACTCTCTACTTCTCTAATACCAACTGTGTTTTACACTCTAGCTTTCAGATACCTGTTGTCTGAGATGTGTACATTCTCACTTTATAGTCTTATTCCTAACAATAGGGTCCTGTTGACATAACCTATAATCACCAAAAATGTTATATATAAAATCTAATATAATCTAGAAAATTCACATTACTATTTCAACAAATTATAATATAAAACCTATTATTCTTACTAGTTTGTACTATAGGTGAAGGCTTATAATTTATAATAAATTGCAAATATGTAATATATATTTTCAATATAATATTTAAATAGGCTTTTTAGCTATTCAGTTAACTATAATATTTATCTCATGTTAGTATAAAAGTGTTTACTTGGAAATTAGTTAAGAATAGATCAGACTTTAGTTCTTTGTAGGACCCTTGAATGCATTGAATTTTATATCATTTTTCTTTATTTTCTCTAATTTTAATTGTAAATACTAATTCATACAAGTTGTTAGGGGTATCATGATCTAATATCAAGGAACCACACTATATATAGTAACCCTACTTGGAATTGGAATCTCTGGTCTCCAACACCCCCTGTTGGCCCTCTTATGGGGCCCGCATGTTATCATACATATCTATCTTAGTGGTATCCTGTGACTATAATGTCACAGAATTGAAGGTGTTAGAATAATACTATATACATCACCACCATCTCTCTGACTGAATCCTGCTTGCAGGATATATGAGAGGAGACCTTTGGCTAGGTCTGAGAAGTAGAATAGATTAAATCTGTGAACTACTCAGAAATCTACTAGGCTTCAAAGATGGAACATCTTTGGTATGGGCTGTAAGTAATGGGACACTTTTGTACACAAATGTGATATTGAGTGTTAGAGAATGTCTATGAAGAGCCAACACATTTGTATCTATCCTACAATAATTAGAAGTATCTAGAACTCTGAGGCACAGTACCAAAGAAACTAATAGACTTTGCAGAGTGTTACAACTAAGTTCAGAAATGCGCCATCATTGTGAAAAGTATCTTCAATACTGAACTATGACGAAAGCCCTGTTACTAAGAAGAACTAGCAGTTGCTGACCAAGGAATTATTTGCCAGTCCAGTAAAATAGCTTTCTGCAAATTAGTAGAAAGTTATCCAAAAAATATCTGTTGGTTTTATCAGAAGTTATGGAGGATTAAAGTCAGCGACCTAAGAAGATTACATGGACAACTACTCCTGTAGACACAACCCATAGGTGGAACTGATCATTTCGTCAGTGGGGAGGGCAATTGGGGCCAACTCAGTTCGGCTTGGGAACTAGACTATAAGTCTAATAATCCTAAAGATCAGATAATGACTATTGGGAACAGTACAATTCCCAATTGGCAAATTAGTAATTACCAAAGAGAATGTGATGGTTTTCAGTGTCTTCTAGTGTTCTCACTTCAGAAGAATACCTGATGCTGTGAGTTATAGTTAAAGAAATACATAATTTATATGAGAGATAGATGAAGTCCGTGAATACTCAGATGCAGAATATAAATATAGAAGTGCCTCCTGAGCTTGTAGACTTCATCAAGTAATAGAGAAGAGACCTTAACAATATAATAACGTTTTATGATTCAATCTTATTTTACTTTACTCTTAGTAGTCATAAACGAAACCCATAACCCTTTAAGCCTTCCTAGACAAATCTCCATCTATAAAATGAATCTCGATTGGTCTAGACAATTCTGAGTCTATACAGATTGTCTCTGCCTAACACAAGTCGCATGAATAATAAGCTGTTTTAATAGAGCTAACAAATCTTTTTGGCCATTTTAACCAAAAATGCATACTTTTAAATGCTGCTTCATAATTAGGAAAATAATTAAATTCTTAAATAAAAATTAATCAGTTATATGCCTTCTTCTCAGCACTGGATAGGGGTTTTTATTCTTCTGTAATTACTGTACAGATTGTTGATATTATAGGTTTTAAAGAGGATGGGATTTCTGGTGCACCTTTTGGTATTTTACTATAGATATTATGGTGCTACATCACAGCCCCTCACTCGAGACAAACCGCATACTCCCCCGCCACCACCAATCCCTCGATCTCTGGGAAACGAATCCCCATATTAGCATACGCTTCCATGCCCCTGTGCAAAAGATCCACAGTCCACCCTTCCCCTCCAAAGACCGCCGGCGCGGCGTTCACTACTGCCGGGAATAACCCCTCGTGCAGCTCCTGCGCGGACTGAGTGGCTTCTGGTGAGCTCGTCGGACAGACTGGTAACCGGAAGCCCTTCTCGGTAAGGGATAAGTGGCAGAGGTATAGTATAAACACAACGTCTTCTTGCCCAGCCTCCATCAGCTCCTGTACATCTGCACTGCCAAAGCAGGACTCGATCGCTGCTGCGAAAGCCATGTCAGCCCCCCCTGCTCTTCCGAGGGCGGATTGCAGGCGTATTAGACCGCTACTGGTGGTGTGGGAGTTTATGATGTCCTTGGATTCTCCGATCGCGGAGAGTATTAGTGAGCGTTGGCTATCAGCGTATATCTTTGCTGAGGCTTGCTTTGAGTTCCGTGGTTCCGGGAGGGTAAGGGGAAAGTTTTGGTGCTTTCGGAGGAGAGCATGGAGAAGGGTTATGTGTGTCGATAACTCATTGCGCTTGGTCGCGGGTTTGGTTGGCTGGGTGGTGAGCATGCAAGAGGCTTCCGTTGGAGTGCTGGTTAGGATGTATATGAGGGTTAGTAACGAGGATGGGTAGATGGACGGATTTTCCGGGGTACGGTTGCGGGGCGTTAGGTGGTAGAGGCCCGTCGGTGACTCGCCGAGGATGGAGTGTTGCAATGGGGTAAGCGGCGGGGAGGATTTGAGGAGGAAGGAATCGAAGGGATTTTGGAGGAGAGTAAAACCGTAACCCATTAGTACTAGAAGTGGTTAGCATTGCTAAGGTATAAAGTAGGGGGAGGATGAGTACACTCTTCATTTGCCTTGGGCCCGTAATTATTGTACACCTCAGCTCCTGCAGAAACACCCACACCGGATATTATTCTCAGGGAGGTATCACTAGGTTGCCATGTAATTATTGTAGCCGGGTAATGATTCAAACTGTCTATTAATGGGAATAAAATCGGCATGGTATCGTCCTCATGAACAATTATTCGGTCCCAATCCATCAACTTTCCGGGGAAACTCCTTGACGTAAAAATAGTAGAAGCCCACAAGTATAGTTCCCTCAAAACTCTCAACTATTTCAGCCCCACGAAATCCTAATGGCTAATAGGGGGGTTTTACCATGTGTAGTATTCTGTGTCGTATCCCTCTCTCTGAAGAATGGACACCGCGGCCTCAAATTCTTCCCGCCAAATCAATTTTCTCGCCTCTACCTCAGTCGCCTCGAGGTTACAGCCTTGTAAGAACTGAAGATCTTCATCAGAAAAATAGAGCGGTGTATCAAATTCCCTCGGCAGGACGCAAAGATATGGCCACCAGAATGATTCCTTGCCCTTCAACCACTCCAGGCAAAGAAACATACAAAGGGCGGCATGTTGAGTGGTGTTGGTGATGAAGTCTGCTGAAAATGCAGAACGAGCTTTTGTATAATTTATTGTTAGGGTGTGAGGACAGCTAATCAACTGGGAATGCGATGGTATATCGGTGCAGGTGATCACGCGCGAGCCATACTTGGAGTCTGGCTTAAGAATTTGGTTAATTAAGCGCACTTTCCGTTCTAAGATTAGGTAGTTCTGACCAGGTGGGGTGAATGTTAAAGACCCATGAATGAAGCCGCCGTGTGAAACTAGCCAATGGCCAAAAGCATTGAAGGCTTCGTCTGTTGAAAAAATTCTCGCTGACATATTTGATGATCGAGAGAGGTGAGGTTACCAGTTACTCAAAAGGGTTAAGGAAATTTGGCGGGGCGATCCGCCAGTGTTGGTGGGGCAACAGGGGTTAGAATATGATGATCAAAATTTGTCTCGCGCACCTGGGGAGCTAATCCACTCTTTCTCTCACTCCACTTGAAACGTCAAACTCGCGGAACTACGGTACCTATTCTCTTATGTTGTTGAATCGAGTTATCCTCAGCCGCTCCACAAACATCATTCACAATTCCCCCCGCCCGTTTCGCAGCTCTCTTCCAACCTCAAGCAGAGTTGCCACCGCTTGCAATTCCCACCCGCGACGGCAAGCTTCACAATCAGCAGAATCTCAAGATGACACAAATAGCGGGGGTCCCCCTGATGCAGAAGAGGAGTCCGCCCTCTCGCGGCGTTTCACGGAAATGACTGATGAAGCCATGACATCCTCACCCCGCAAAGCTGCGAAAATTACCTCTGAAAACGTCTTATCCGAAGACCTAAAACGAGAGCTCGAGGAACGAATTGCAAAGGCACAGTTCAATACCACCCATGCACAAGCTCTTTCAGTATTGGACCTCCCATCCGGGGCTCCAAAACAGGTCCGGGACATTGCAGCCGCTACACCATGGACAGGTACAGAGTCAATCGAGAATGCCGTTCTCCGTATGGTTGTTGACACCCACAAGCCTCCCCGGGGTGAACCAGTGCGGAAACCAAAGCCGCAAACACCGGGAAACGTGGGCCCCAGTCCTATCCGCGCTTCCAAACCCCAATCCGCATCCCAAAGGATTGCCTATGCCCGAGAGAAAACGACAGAGTACACTTTGAATAAGTCCGATTCGCTATCTGAAGACGAAAAGTCTGAGGTTCGAAACATGTTCCGGGAGAGATTCATGCCCGAGGGAAGACCTGTCGCTTCGTTGAACGCCATTGCTTCGCTCGCTGACGAGAAGATTGAGGAGGCTCGCGCTAGGGGTCAATTCAAGAATTTACCGAGGGGGAGGCCATTAGAGAGGGATCATAACGCCGATTCACCGTTTTTGGATACGACGGAGTACTTCATGAATCGGATCATACAGAGGCAGGACATCGTCCCACCCTGGATAGAGAAACAGCAAGATCTTGCTAAGGCAGTGAGAGTATTCCGTGAGAGGCTTAGGGCAGATTGGAAACGACATGTTTCTAGGATAATTTCCAGCGCAGGCGGAAGTATTGATGAGCAGTGCCGACGAGCGGAAGAGTATGCAGCTGGCGAAGCACGCTTAGCAAGGATTGAAGACAGAGCGAAGAAGCTCGAGCGAGGTGAAGAAGTAGACCCTTTAGATGAGGACGTCACCAACAGATGCAGCGGCACAGCAGTATTTCGAGACCCAACATGGGAAAAGACCGAACTTCAATATCACAAACTCGCCATAGGGAACCTCAATTCCATCACAAGAAGCTACAACCTTATGGCCCCAGAACTTGTTAAGAAGCCGTACTTCACTCTGGAGAGAGAGGTGAAGATCTGCTTCCGGGATACAGCCCCGTTGATCCCAGATGTGATTCGGGAGCGGGCGAAGATATCGCCCCAGAAGGTTGCTGAGTTTCAGAGGGGTTCTAACCCCGGCCCATTGCTCGAGAAATTCGGAGCCTCAGGGAATGTGGTGGTGTACGACAGCACGAAGCCAAATTACGGGTTCAAAGAGTTGTTTAAGGATGTATTTTCGGGGTGGAAGTGGGGGAAGCAGACAACATGAACGGATGAGTCGGTGGAGGTTTAGATTGTAAGATATTGGGCTCGGGGGCAGTAGTGTACAGTACCATACTACGGTAGCAAAATGGTAGATATCCCATTGGGCTTTTGGTATAGCGGGTTTAAATTTCAACCAATAGCTTTCCGGTGCATCCCCTAGACCCAATAAAACCACTGGTGACTTCCGGTGCCCGTAAATTCCTAAAGTTTCCTAGTTTCAGCCACTCAAAAAAGTATCCATAAAACTTTTGAATGTTCTGAATTTGGTAGAACGTTTTTCCGTCCCCGTTCTTTTCTTAGAACACGACGACAATATCTGCTCCTGTAGCTTTCAATTACACCCGTATGATAGAGATACAGCAAGCCAGTAATCCACCCATTCATAAATATTTACCGTAGAATTTCGCAAACGAGTCCCAGAACGTTATCCCATAGGGTGGGTAGGCGCCACCACATCCCTCACGGGTGTTAACACCCCCAAGACATGAGAAAACTGTCCTTTTATAAGTAGCCAACAGGGAACAAGTTGGCACTCAGTCTCATGGAGGACTTATGTCCATTAATTCGCACGTACTGTACTATACTTCGGGAGTGCAGGGGAAAGTGAATGGGTATACAAGCTCGTGTTACTTTGCCGACTGTACTTGACCCCACCGGCATTCAATCAGATATTAGCTATACTCCAGAGAATAGGGGTGGGTGGGTCTGAGGCTCGCGGGAAGTATGAGGGGCAACGTAACCTCATGGAAGAGCAACATATGTTGACAGCTTGCTGTCTGCACTGTTTCATTGTTTCCGGAGCTCGAGGCGGCAAGGGGAGCTCAGCACAACAAGGGGGTGTGTGTACGAGTATTTGCCCACACAGGGGTAAGGGTTTGTGTACTTTGAGTATCACGAAGGGATGACCGCAGGAGGTTTGGCTATATACACAGGGGGTTAAGAAGTATAGACAGGTATCAGCTCTCCTCTTGCAAGTCGAGGGGGCATAGTGGGTGGGTATATCTCTAAAAAAAATTATTATAATGAATCTTTAAATATCGTTCATTGTTTTTAAATAGTTACTATTCAATCATGACTTTTTGTGAACAAGCGCTCTGGCTGCAAGGCAATCAGTAGTGAAAAGAGGAGTTAGATAATAGATAGTAACCCCCTTAGGCCAGTTCAGTCGTGTTCATGCCAGAGAGTCTCTATAGCACTCAGTAATTGTAGTTGCTATTCTTTATCGAGGAAAAACAATTGTTTTTTTCCTTTTGAGTAGTCTTGTCTTTTTCCCCTGCTTCCCCGTCAGTCGCGCTACCCCGCCCCATGATAGGAGTATGGCCTAGAGTCGGATCCTACCACCTCATAGTAGGTATTTCAAGGAATTTTGTAATGGGGACAAATGCTTATCCTACCAGGAGGAAATTTTAGATCTTTTTTTTTTTCTCTTGCCTCTATATCCTTTTTCATCCAGTTTAAGCAAAACAGATTATAGAAGGAAACACATTCCCGAAAGGAGAGAAATAATAACATTGATCTCTAGTTATTAATAATAAGAATACTTTGTGCCCAAACCGGGGAGGTCACCGCGCAGAATATCAATTGTGAACGAAGGTAGATTTGGGCTGAGACTAGCCCAGACTTCCGACGGGAACCGGCATATTCTGAAAATTTATAAGAAAAAAAAAAAAAAAAAAATTTACCTTGGAAAAAATATCCCCGAATAAGAATGAAGAGCAACGATAGTCTAAAGATAAAAATAAATGTAGGTGGCTCCCCAATTGGGCGTCAGACACGGTGGGGACAGCCACGGAGAGGAAAAGTTAATCAGAATGGGGACGTGGTCGGAGCCAGTAAAGACAAGAGCACCAAAACGTCCCTAAATTATGATAACCCTCTCTAGGGCGTTGTTCCCCACTTTAAAGTTTAGCGTCAAGCATTTTTAAATGAGCACAATGAGAAAGAATCATGTGAAATCACTCGTGAGAATTTGATTTCAGGCTGTTAAGTGCGATGGGGTACCCTAGGGTAAGGTAGCGAGGTATGATATGAAGCACCATACCCTATAATTTCAGTTCATGATTTGAGGCTAGCATAGGGGTAATCCCGTTCTGCCATACGATAGACATGATCTGGGTGTAGTTTGCGTCTCAAGAGTGAGCGGGCGTTAGTACTAGTATAGTACAAATGATTTACAACCACAGGTTCCCTCCCCCAAAATGCTTCAGAGAACCGTCCTGTGAGCCGTGGAGTGGTAGCCATGATTACCAAAATTATCCCGAGTTCCATGCTGCGGCCAACTGCTCGAGTACAGCAGCGCTGACAAAGAAAGCAATGACAATACAATAGCTTAGCAAAATGCAGGACACCTCAGGGTCAGTAAGCGATAACACAAGCCCGAAAGAGCTACAAAGCAGGTTACAGAAAACAGTCACGCTAGTTTCGTGATAGGTACTGGTCATCTATTGGCCTCAAGAACTGTACTCAAAATCTCCAACGGAGGCAACCCCCCCCCCAACATACACCTGCGGATGAAGCAACCTAACCGCAGCAAGAATGAGAGGATAAGAAACCAACCGCAACCCTAAAAAGTGTTCCCACGATGAGTAGAAAGTGTGAGCCTTACCCGGATCTTGGATGCTATTACCTCCCGCGTGCTTTCTCCACTGCGATCCAGAAACCTAGCACAGCTTCTCTCTGTTGAGTTTCCTATGCTGGAACAAACCACGGCCAACTTTCCCGCCAAAGCCCACTACTACAGACTAGGGTGAGAATCTGGAAGGGCTCCTGTTCTGGGCCAGAGTCGGGGCGTCAGTCCTGTTTTATCGTCACCGCTCTTAAGTTAGAGGTCAAGGGAATCTTGCAGCTGTGTAGTAAATATTAATCTATTAATACAATAACACTCCCACTAAGTCTATAGCCAAGCGGCATCAAGGAAATCCGCCTGGAGCCATCAACCCCCCTCATCACCAGAGTCAGCTCATAGGGGGCCGGTCGGCCGACAACAGCCTCAAGAATGCCGCCCAGCAACTTGACGTGCGGGAGAAGAGCCCAAAACACCATATTCATTCCTAACTATTTGAGATCGTTTACACGAGACTTGCTTTGAATCACGGCGAGCGATAATTGATTGTTACCTTAGCCATTCTAAGACATATCTCCACTAATATTCGACAGGAAGAAACATTGGTTCTACTTTGTTATTCACGTCGGGAGCCAAAAGCTCACGAACCTTCCCGATTGTCGTGTTTGCAGGAGGGCTGGGTTAGTTGTACTCGAGTGCAGTACCGGTAGTCAAGAGGAGAGAAAATAAACACATGCACAATCAGAAATGACCCATTGTCCCTTCCACATTCAGGTTGTTATAGTGTAGCATAAATTGGAGTGTTTGCTACCCCACTAGTGGTGGAGGCTGTTAATTACGAAGGGCTGCTAGTGAGGTGATGGAAATACAGGTAGGAGATGGGGCACTCAAGCACTGATACCAATAATACACGTAGGGAGATGAACGAAGGTTTGGTGGAAGGATGGTTTGAGTGGTGGTGGGAAGGTGGGCGAGGTGGGGGTCCCTAGTCAATCAGTTAAGTATCGCGCAATTCTGATATGTTATGATATAATACCGCATTATTTGGCAAGAACCGGCAGGCGCTAGTATGTTGAATTAGGGAGATGGCTGAAGTGAAACTGCAGATCAGAACCTAAGACAGTGATTAATAATAATTCTCACAATAACACAGAGGATGTTTCCAACGTCGTATGACTCAAGATATTTCCTTCTCTAGTATAATATCCTACGGAATGAGAAAATGAAATCAGAGCTTGTAGAACAACCTGCATTTTCTACCCGTCAACATGCCTCTCATATCACAAATTAGAGAAGATTCACCAGTTCACCGTGCCGGTCTAGATCCATCCCAAGCCTCCGAGTCCACCCCAAGGGCTCTCCCCATTCTACAAGAGCTTCGTCAGTCTCCAGCCCAGCAAAAAGTTCGGAGATCAGTAAATAGGCCAGGTTGTACATCGAAGTCGGTATTGGTGAAACCATAGAAGGTTTCTAAAGCAAAGCAGGAGGTTCACCACACATATATTCGGGAGTTTAAACTCCAAGTTCTTTTGTATGCACAACACCATCAGATTGCCATCGGTCCCTCTACCTTTCACCTACTCACCGAAATTGAGGTTTCTGAACGGTTTCTCGTTCCACATTCAACTTTGCAAGGATGGAAGAAACCAAGCAGTATAAGCAGTATGGAGGTAATTGTTAATGGGGTGAGGGGATCTCGTACCAATTGTGGTACAAGGAGATGTCAGTGGCCAGAGTTGGAGGAGAGGCTTTACTCTACCTATAGGTTACAGAGAGATGAGGCTAAAGCAGTATGGCATGGTTGTGTCCGCCGGAAAGCTGAGAGATGCTTTAAAAAGTGCTATCCCACATTAGATGTGAGTACTTTTGCCTTTTCAGATGGGTGGTTTTTTGGATTCTTATCATGACATAATATGACTTTACAATTTTCAACTAATAAGTCCCAGAAACTGCCAACGATTACCTTAAAGCTTGTCTCAACTTCATACACTTTGTAAGACATAATACACTACTTCACATCCACAATGAATATCACAAACTAGATTGTGATAAGATAGATTGACAAGGTGGAACAAAGGTTTTCACATAATTAGCGCTTACAAGTCATAGAGGTTTATTGTTATGTGATGACTCATAGTTGTGAGTTATATGATATTATGATTTTCACGCGTGTGATACACTTAGCTCACATGACTTGTTTTAAGGATAATGATTAGTTTAGGTATGTGGCACAGTTGACTTATACGCGTCAAGCTGAGGATCTTGCATAACTCACAATTGTGAGTCAGAGGATATGGTGACATGAAGGTATGAGTTACACAGTGTTAGGGTTGGATGAGGTGTCTATATAAATAGCAAGGTCCAGGGACCTCCAGTACACTACGGAAAAAGGAAATCCGCACCTCCACTCCCTACGCGGAACTGTCCCAGGAACGCTGTTT